CGCGCGGCGGTGCGGAGCGCTCCGGGCTGGGCGGGGCTGCGGGGGGCAGCCAGCCCGTGGGGCACCCCCTCCATCGCCACCCTGCCCATCACCAACCCGCCCATCACCATCCTGCCCACCTCCCACCCTGCCCATCTCCCACCCTGCCCTCTGAAGGGGTGCGTGAAAGCCAGGCTGAGATTTTGGGGGGCATTGCCAGTTCAGCACAGACCCCCATAGCCAAGCATTTTCAGATGTCACCCCCAGACCCCCTCCGGGCAGAGAGGGGGGACCGTCATCTCACTGTGGGATGGCAAAGGTCACCCACAGCCGATCACATCCCACCCTGGGAAATGCCGATGTGCCACTTCCAAACCACCCCACGCATCCTGAAAACGAAGCGGGCCAGAGGGTGGGAGTTAAAGAGAGAAGTGGGAAGGGCGGTTGGAAGCTGGTTAAGGCTTTTACAGGAGAAGAAAGCGGCAATGGTTAAAAGCTGCGCCTGATGCAGAGCGGAAGGGAAGCAGTGGCGTGTGCATGTGTGTGCGTGTACAAGGGCATCTGCGCAGCTCTGCTTAAACAAACAGAAAAAGCAGAAGTTGGTGGTAGTGAATTAGCAGTTAGGGACTGTAGAAAATCCATACAGGAAGCAAAACAAAAGAGAAATCTCAGGCCACGGGGGCTGAGGACGCTGAGAGGGCGCTTTTGAAATAGATGAAGCACATAAAGTGTGCAATAGCTGTGAGCTGGGACAGCCGCCCGTGGGAAGGAGGGCAGGCACCGGGCTCCACCGACCGCTCGTCTGTGCTCAGAAAAAAAGCCAGAAGGTGCAATTATGCATGAAGCAACGGTGGAAGGAATTAAAAAGCAGCTTTTAAGGTAAGATTTTATCACTCGGCTGCTCCCAGCCACTTCCCTGTGGGGTTTGGGGAGGGCTGGTTGGTTGCAGAGTCGCCTGGACCCCTGGAGCAGGAGATGCCCAAGAGGAGCATGGGGTTATAGCCCTGCAGGAAAGCTCTGCCCTGGTCTGGGGTGTCGGTGGGGCTGGAGGGGGCAGCCCGGCTGCATCCGCACCGGCAGCAGCCCAGGGCCGTGGTCTGGAGACGGCCAGCCCCAGGGCACAGCACCAGCAGGGGGTTCCCGTTTCAGTCTTTTCCCTGTCG